CAAATAAACGTAATTATCTGTTACATAGTGATCCATCAGTCAACGGAGAGTCATTGGGAATTTACCATGCATCTAGGCAACTATGCGTGCTTGGGAGTGATTTCCATACGATTAGGACAAGGAGGAGCTGAAATTTTGGTTTGTGTTCAGCTGGATAACACTTCTGACACAAAATAGATACGATCAGACTTCCTTAAATTGGGCAAGACTATAATTTGTGGACTACCTTTAGGCGAAGCTGAAGTGACCATGAGAGTGGAGGCATACTGAATAGGACTAAATGAGAGTTATAAAGCAGTTAGAATTCTCATTTACAGTTGATGGTTAGGGTCACAAAATAGATTTAGGGTTTTCCTCACGAACTGACATCAGCTACAATGCCAAAACTCTATTCAGCCAAATGTATACTCACACCTAAAAGCATTCTTCTAATATTTAAACGCAGGTCTAGTGAAACATTCAGTGCTTCTTTCCTGATAAACGTACTTTGAAAGGTCCTTGATGATACTTGTGGCTTTAACAGAATTCCTTTTCAACACTTGTCAGAAGACTTAATTTTGAAAGTACTGATGAGTTTGCACTGTAAAAATAGGGATAATAGATGCCGAGAAATCGTTAAATGCTGAAAGACCTTCTAGGACCAAAAGATATCAGTTCGAGCAATAGTCCTTGGCTTTAGAAGAACAGCCGACAAAATACCCAAGCACTTCTCATAGAGGCATTGAAAAGATGAGATTCACTAACTCAACTCTATTTTAGCTCTGAAGCTACCTGGTGAACGGTATGTAGGTATCATTACCAAGGTTTGATTTGACAATTTCGAACAAAGTGAGCATTGGGTATTTATTTGGTCAACGGTATGTTTCGCACTAAGGCAAATAGAGTGCACGTGAGCTGGAGGAGTCTAAATATCAGGAGTTTCACAAGGGATAAACTTAGGTCAACTCCTGATCTTTATTAACAATCCCCCAGATAAAATTAGCTCGGCCATGTCGATTAGTGGAGATGATGCAATGATCTGGAAATCCATAAAAAGCGAAAAGGATTCACTTGAGCTTCAAAAGAGTCTTACAACACTTGAGGAATGGGCAGTAGACAATGGGTTAAAAGTTGGTCTACCGAAATACCGAGTCATGAACATTCTGTCTCATCTGGCACCAAACGCTTGCACCCTCTATGGAAATCCGCTACCGACTGTCTCCTCAGAGCGCGATCTCCAGCTAGTGACCACAGAAACATTAGATATCAGCCCAAACTACATGTGGGATATAGGATTTAATTCGTCCTACGGATATACTACTAGGACTGTAAACACGATACTGACGACCCAGAGTCTATGAGAAAGCTATAGTTAAAGCACAAACAACTTGGCTTTGAACTTTATGTTTCTAAACGTAAAAACAACTCGATTAGCACAATAATTAAAGGAATTTTAGCCATTACGTGGAACACAAACACGTCGACCAGTATTGTATGTCTTGTCGAAATGAACAAAAATCATCAGTCACACTGATGTAATAGGATAATAATGTTTTTCAATTGGTAGGTCAAGTGTAACAGGGACAGTCTACAGACACGTCAGACCAGATTGACGCAGTAGGCGTTTAAGTAACGGGCTCATTGTTTAGTTATGAACACAACTAACAGGAGATGGGGCCAAGGCAAATGCAACCCTTCATTTTATGTGGAGGAAACTTCATGCAATCATCTCAAAATTGTCCCTAAATCTCCTCAAAACGTACGCACAGCCCGGCTGTAATGTTCACAATGTTGTACCGCCACCAGTTCTCCTCCTAGAAGGCAACTTCAAGAGGACATTTTACGAACACCTACTCACCCACAGATTAACATCTTTCACTTGAACCGTCTGTGTCTGTCTCATAACTGACCTACTGCTGTCCATGTCGCATATCATTTACTTGTCTCTATACCACCTATCATCATCTCCGTTTTACCTTTAATTCCCACATTTTGGTCTCCCCACACCGTCTACATTACCAATATTTTTATTTCTTTCTTGAAACAATTTTCTTCACTGAGCATCCAAATTTTCCATCTATTGTTTATCTCATTGCTATCAACCAACCTCCTGTCTTGTAATGTGATAGCTACCGGTCTCCAGAAACCTACTACCCTTAGACAAATGCACCCACTCAAACTGCGAGATATATAAATACACAAATAACTATTAAATTGATTAGAATTAGTGCAATCAAGTGGCTTCAAATGGTTCAAACTTTCGCGACAGCTAGAAAATTGCTTGCAACTCAAAAGTTCGTTGCCCATTCACTTGTATTATACCTTAAGATATGGATCACTTTGGCCATATTCAGCAGGGATTTATGTCAAACACTACAATTTATCTCAAACTTCGGTTCACTCTCACAAATGGTTCAGATGGTTCAAATGGTTGCGGACGGAATAGAAGAAGCTTTCGCTTAACAGGCTTCCGTGTCTAGTAGCAGCGGATCACCAATACCGCCAGGCAAGAACCTAGGTATATTAACGATAAAAGAGAAAGAAAATGAATTGGTAAATCATAGTAGGATACTATCCTTAGTCCTTAAGAATAGATCAAGTCGCCTCTTAAAGGACTCCTGGGAAGTTGCTTGGACTAGCTCAGCTGTCAGCGAGTTCCAGCATTTGACAACTCTTAAGGAGTAGAAATTGTGTCTGCAGTCCGTTCTACTATGTTGTATCTCCAGTTTTTGGGTGTTACCCCTTAGGTTAGTGTTGGGACTAAGCTTAAGTAGGTGTTTAAGAGGGTGTCCAGGTGTGTTAAGGATACTGTAAGCCATTAGAATGTCACCTCTAAGACGCCTATACTCTAATGGGTAAAGGTCGAGTGATTGGAGGCGAAGAAGAAATTTAAGGACAGCAGATAGTCATGTATATCATCGTATACCAGGGACTCCATGATCTTTGAAGGTATAGAGAGAAGGGCCACCGGTCGGTAACTTGAAGGTTCACTGCGTCGACCTCCTTTGAAGATTGGTGTGATATGAGCCAGCTTCCAAATATCCGGTAGTTTGCCCCGACTTAGCGAGTGTGAGAACATCACGCTAAGCGGTGTTGCCAGGATTAAAGCTGCTTCCCTCAGTATAGCAGAGTGGACCATATCTGGACCAGGAGAAGTGTCTGTTCTTAGGTGTTGTAGTTTACGGTACACCAAGTCAGCGCTCAGTTTCACTACGGAAAGTCCTGTGCAGTTGCAGACAGAGCCGACATCAGTATAGTTGATGTGGGTCGGCTGAAATGTCCGGGAGTAGTGCTCAGCCAGAAGGTTAGCGGCGTCACCGTCATTATCTGTCGGGCCGTTAGGACCTAGCAGTTGAGAAACTCCAGTTTTGGCTTGACAAAGAGAGGCTGCATAACGGAGTAAGCTTTTCGGATTGGAAATAAATTTATCCATAAGCTTTAACTGGTACTGAAGCCTGTCTTCTCTTATAGCCTTCGTACATATGTTCCTTATATGTTTGTATTGCCTGTACTCGCCGTTGTTGTTGGTTCGTTTGTATTCTGCCCAACAGTGCCTTTTACGGCTTAGCAAACGAAGAGTGCGTTTTTTGATGATTGTAGGTTGCTTGTGCCTTTTGGGGACCGTTTGAGGAACTGACTGCTTAGTAGCACATGAGAGCGTGCGCAGTAAGGAGTCCCAATGAGCATCCACATCAAGTTGAGGGTGAACATCCCAATCCACCTGTTGTAGATAATCCTGTAGAGCTGACGCATTCGACCGTTTGAAGTTCCAGCGCCTGTTGTTGTCGGGATATCTTAGCTCTGTTTTGCTGACGAAACTGAAGGCTATAACGGCGTGATCGCTTTTCCCCAGGGGAGCCAGAATTGAGAGGTTGTCGACTAGAAATTCTTCATTTGTAAAAACACAGTCTAAGCGCGACGGTGTCTGACCGTTCCTCCAACGAGTGTGCGACTTCACATTTTCGTGCAGTCCCAAGTCCTCAATGAGGTTGAAGAACCGAGCTTCGATTGAATTTTCACCTCCAGTATACGTATGTTCCGCGAAGTTGACTCTAGGAAGATTGAAGTCCCCTAGGATCAGGATATGAGTGAAGCTGAGACGCGTAGAGCGGGATAGTCCCTCCAGCATGCGACTGTCATACTCGATGTCGGCAGTGGGCTTCCTATATATGACTCCGACTAGGCACCTCGAAGTAGTGGACAATCTCATAGAGCACCATAGGGATTCCTCAAGATTGTCAAACTCGTGGTTGTGGATTTGATGTACCACCAGGCCAGATCTTATGTATAGGGCTACTCCACCCCCAATTCCTGTTTTTCTGTCATTGCGAAACAGAGACATCCCAGGTATTGCTAGCTCCTGGTCCGAAAACTGGGAAGATATCCAAGTTTCGGATATTCCTATCAGATGAACTTTATTAGCGTTGCTAAGTTCACCTAGTTCATCCATTTTATTTGGTAGACTCGCGGCGTTCATGTATAAGCAGTTAATGCTTTCAATTTGAAACGCGTGAGCTTCTTCCTGTTTATCTGTGAGAGCCTTGCGTGAGTGGACAGGTAACCCACCTATATAAGTTTTGTCAAATTGGTAGGCCCTGTCCTTTACACGTTTTTTTTGTCTTGAAGACAGTCCACAAGTGGAATGGTCAGTTCCAGCTTGCCTTTGTGCTTGATCCTGGCGTCGTATGGCCTATCCGGGTGCATATGGATCCCAGTTGGCAACCGACGTCTGTTGACACGAAATGCTTCCAGAGTTGCAGCCGCCATATGGGAGGATGGAAAAGTTATCCTCATTAGTCGGGGTCTAGGATCCCCATCCTTCTTGGCTAGTCTCATCACATGCTGAGACAGTATGTTTTTAAGCCTCAAGGACTGTTTGATGAATTTCCATTCCCGAATGTCAGAGTTTGCTTGAGTAGGGTCCATGTTTTCCGGTACACCTTGCACGATGATATTTCTTCCGCGGAAAAACTTCTCTCGAGAATCTTTAGGGACGTTTCGGATGAGATTGCGCTCAGAATATGGTATGTCAGGCAGTATTCTGACGTTCCCATCGGATTTCAGTAGATGACTGGCTAGCAGGACATCCTCTACTTCGGTAGCATTCTTGAGTGTTACACGGAGTAGTCTAGGGTGATTTTGATGTTTAGAATCCTTTCCCCGAGTGAGCCGTGTGACCGTCAAGGGCTCTATTCTAGGGAGTTAGAGCTTTTTGTTCAGTTCACCCCAAAGCATCCTGTCATTTTTGTCCTGCAAACTGAGAGGAAGGTCAGGATTGTCTATGAGGTTCATGATTATGAGAGAGTCGTCACGGACCGTTGTTGTTTTCCCAGCTCTTCCAGTGCGTTCAGGTTCAGTACGTTGTTGTTTGGAGGTCGAAGCAGGTTTTTGAATCGTAGGCTTTTTGGGGGTAGACTGAGCGATCAAAGCACCAGTTGATGTCCGTACAACACTTGGGATGTCAACCTTGGACGGTGACACCTGGTCCTTATTAGCTCTGTTGGCGTGGGTACAGTCACCTGCAGAGTTTTTAGGAACCACTGTTGCGTTTGAGGACCCTGAACTGGGAGATCCAATTTTAGTGAGGGAATCAATTATTGTCGACGTAATGATGGTGCTGAGTTTCAACATGTCATCATTAGTGCTAATGCGCGTTCCATCGATGGTTGACTTGTCAACATCCCTGTTCTTATTTTCGTTACGCGCCCTCGTTTGCCTACCTATTTTATGGCTGTTTCCAAGTTTACTGACAATTTATTCCGCAGACCTGTCAGTAGAACAATGATATTGCTCAGCAGCACTACAGCGTCCGTGTTGCACGTAACGCACACCCACTTACGGTCCGATTTGCTGAGTCTCTTGTAAGCCGTTGCCGTAAGATCTGTGCACGTTTCGTGAAACCAACCTTTGCAGTTGTCACACTGCATGCCAGATGTAACAGCGAAACGGCATCCAGGTCTTTTACATGAATTTTTCATGGCTGTATTTATGTAAACTGTGCTAGAGATAGTATCAAAGCTTAAGACCGTTAAAAATACACTAAAAACCACACTAAAACGGGAAAAATGTATAAAAACGGATGAGATAAAATGAAATAGCCTTTACGTGAAAAACTGAAAATAAACCGAATAGTAAGCTGAGGCAAAACCGCAGTTAACTATTAAATTGGGTGAAACTCAAAAAAAGTAATCTACCGAACTTATAGCTCAGAATAGATTGTTTAGATCAGAAATGGTACTTTTGTTGCGTAAGAACACAGCAAAAGTTTGAGAAATGCAAACCACGTTAGGACTAAACTTCCCGTCCGAAAAGCGCTAGAGAACTACACATTGAACATTACCAAAACGAGAGGCGAGCGCAGAGAAATTAGTCGGCTTATACAAGCTCGTGACATATATATTGCATATTGGTACCAACTTGTCGTAAGTACATTGAATATTTAAGAAGTGCCAACCATTCAAACCTAACTCAACAACATTTTGGTTGCTAATAGGTTCTCAAGTTAGAGGCCTTTTATATTTGGTTTTGGGTTTCAGTCGTTTGCGATTTTCTTATTTTAAACGCGAGTGGATTTGTCTAGTGTCTTCTTGTGTTGTTATTTTGTTTTCCTCTGTCTATGTGATGCTCCAGGTAGAAATACACGAACAACCTTCAGCTCGTTTCAATTCAAAGAAATTGTTTCAGTAGAAAACTAAATGTGGAAAATAAATGTAGTAAAGTTATGTGATGAAAATAAATAGGCCTGTACATATAAATTATCTGGATTCTCATTACTAATCAATAGTTATATCTATGCTCCACATCTGCATCAAACTCTCGTTGTTTATCGATGATACTAACTAGGTATGTAGCTTTGTCTTACACCATTCTCCTCTTAGGATGCTTTTGTTAGTTACCCTCCACACAAAACTTCGCAATGCGGTCGAATGTAGGTGTTCTGTGTAGTGATAATGATCCCAGGTGTTTCATAGTGTAAAAAAATATTCCATAAGGTTTACTCATCCCCTTTGACATAGCTTTATCGTAATCAAGGATGTTAATGAAGAGAGAAAAAAATTTATGAGAAATTGAGAACCTCAGTATTTGGGGGAAGATAAAGAACTGATTCACATGGGACATAGGGAACGATTTTGAGCCATATCATTCAAAGTCTCTAATCATTGGTTACTATAATCATATGGACCCTAACCAGATAGTTTGCACCTACTAACATGAATAAGTCCAACTGTCAGTGACTTCATAGACCGGTGCCATGTTTTTGGTTAACCCGCCCCTGGCTTTCTCTCAGTCTACTCCCACACAAGAAAGCATCCCCCGTCGAGATAGGCGGTGGTTGAGCATACGTTATACATGTATTCTGTTGATGAAATTCCAATGGGATCACTAGTTTAAGTGGCTTAATTTGTGTGCATTGCGTTTTGACGTTTAATTTACATGCGTTCCCACTAAGTGGTTATAAATGGACCAGTTACAGCATTATAATTTGAGTTTAGACTCTTCTTACCGTTGTCACTAACAATCAGGGAGAACTATAAATTAGATTTTGCCCCATAAGGTATTTTCAAGAGCTTTGGAATTTAGACCACATGATACTGACTAGGTTTCTATTTTCTAGTTACGAGTTACCCACTGACAAGGTATTGCCACCTATTTAGCAATTGTCAGCATATCTGTTGATAGGTTCAGTAAGAAGTAGTCGTTCAAGTAAAAAAATTTTCTGGATGCTATTTCCCAGCTAAATTTGGTATCAGTTCAATTTTATGAAATAAAACCTGTGGCTATTTGATATTTTATCCAATACTTAAACTCACAATTCACTTATAGACTAACTTTTGTATACAAAAAAGGAAGCACAATTCTTTCACTAGCCTAATAGCTGCAATTTCATTTTGTGAGGCAATTTCATTTTCTGTCAATACCAATTTTAAATAGGTAATTATTTACTGACCAATATGGTGAAATGAAACCATACTTATTCTACTAACCCTTTGCTAAAAAGGAAAGTGGTTGAAAGTTGAGTTCTCTAACCAATGGTTCAAAGTTCACTCGTATAACCTCAATAAATAGGTGGGATTAAAGTGGAGACGTATTGTGTAGTTAAACGTTATTTGTTATCTGTAGCATCTATAAGAACCTTACTGTTTTGACATCGGATGATACACGCTGTAGCTACCATTTATGTAACCGACATAATTTATTATTTTCTACATCTGGTTAGGCATATTGTCTGCCGGGAGTATTTACGACCTACTTTCAGATCAACGGATTTTTGGAAATGGATACGTTATCCGAAAGTGACTTCAATTTATCCGAATCACTGAAATCTTATCCAACGTTTGCTTCTATGGGATTAAAAGACAACCTTTTAAAGGGGATTTATGCCTACGGTTTGTTGCATTATTTCATGTAATTCTTCTGCAGGATTTGAAAAACCCTCTCTTATCCAACAGAAAACTATCAAACAAATAACTTTAGGAAGAGATTTAATCGCACAGTAAGTTCAGCACATTTACAATACATAGAACAGAAGTTACTTTTGATTTTCAGAGCTCAAAGTGGGACTGGAAAAACTGCAACATTTAGCATAGGAACTTTGCAAAACATTCTCCCCGAGATCTGTCAAATTCAGGTGCTAGTTTTGGCGCCCACACGCGAATTGGCTTTCCAAATACATCATGTATGTTTCTGTCTGTATTCCACTATTTTCCGATATGATAAAACCAAATATGAAAATGAAAACGAAGCAACTATTGAAATTATCATCTGATTTTTAACAACTCAATAAAAAGTACTATCCCCTTTTAAAAAACCAAAGATTTTCAGCTGAAATCTTGAACCACATACATAAGTTTTTTCTGCCACTAATTTGAAAGTTTTAATAAACAATGGTTTTCTAATGAAAGTGCATGGATACATTAAAATTCTTTCGTTTCAGTAGCTAATTTACCAAAATTCTCGCTTATTTTTGAATGACCGGTGATAAAAGAAAGATAATCATTATGACCTCACAGTCCTATATAAATCTGTTACTTAAGTTTAGCAAAGTATACACATAACTGTATTTTCATATTCTTGTTAGAGCCTATTTATTCATACGTAAATTTAGACTACATCCCAGTGATACTTGTTAAATATCTTAACAGAATGTCATTGAAGCTAGTTGGAGGTAACTAACTGTACAACAATAATTAATATTACACTGTTGATTCTCATCTTGAAAACTGGTTGGTTTGCACTTCTGGATTACTCCAAATTATAAGAATATATTCACTTGTGACCAAGAACGTAGGTTCCAATGTATCATTCAGCTTATCGTAAATTGTCTTATTTGCGTCAAAATTTTCCACGGATGCGTGTGCCTAAACCAGAGTAACTCAAACTAAACTGTCTTCTCATTTTGGTTTAACGCTTAGTCTGTCATACCCTGTTATTCCCGCACAAATTTCGTGATGTCCTGTATGGGTGGCACTAACGCCGACCGAAACACCATAATCGGCACGTTATTTTATATACCATTAGTACCCATATTGTCGTTTTACGTCGAAACTTCACCAAGTTCGGTAGAAGCTCCCACTACTTATAGCTTAAACTAAATTTTCACTTATCAATTCCACTTATGTTCAGCGTAATAAATCCAGCTGAGATACTATGACGTCATCAAGTAGAGAAGCGTCCCTATTTATTTCAGCGTATAAATTACTAGATTTTCACACGCTACTTGTTTACTCTACCCAAATTACATCAATAAGCCAACTTTAGACAGAATCCAAGAATTCTTCCAGTTATTTTGGTTAAATATTTCTGGTTAGGAACAATCAATACTATTTTTTACCAAAGAGTATATTGTATCCTTAGTTTCACTGTAGAAAGAACAACACGGATTTTTATCTACAAATAGAACGTAGTGCAAAATGCCAGTGTGTTTGGGATGAGTTTCTTCCCCTCCAAATGCAAGTTGTTACTCCAAGACTGGCCTGCATCAACACCTGAACTGAGGATAGGGATTGAATTAGTCGAATGTGTCGACAACTTCACTTATCTCGGAAGTCTGGTCAGCCCTAATGGGTTGGTGTTTGACAAAATCTCAGCACGGATTCGAAAAGCTCGTTTGGATTTTACCAACTTATGTCACCTATGGCGAAGGCGAAATATCCATTTATCAATAAAAAGACGAGTATATTGCACGGCAGTTCGTTCTGTTCTATTTTACGGCTGTAAAAAGGGAATAAGCAAGAGTAGAAGATACTCGTAAGTTACCTATATTTGATCGCAGATGTCTTAGAAATATTGCCAGCATCTGCTGTGATCACCGGGTAAGTAATAGTGAGGTTAGACACAGGGTATTAGGAAATGATGGTAAATCAATTGGTGTGGTTGTAAATCTTCACCGACTGAGATGGTTGGGCCACTTGTTACGTATGCTTGAACACCGATTACCACGACGCGCAATGCTGACTAGTGTTGGAGACGGTTGGAGCAAAGTTAGGGACGACCAAACGCGGCATCAATGCTTCAAGTCACTAACTTCTAGTCTTGGCCATGTTGGTAGAAGGAGACTACATGGTTGTCAGTCAGTCAGTAACAACGTAGAACTTCGTACGTACGTACATCAGTTTGAGTTGCCATACCACTTTAGCACAGAGATGCAGTTGTCGATTCGATTCCCGTAGTGGTAGATGTAGTAAGAGTAACCAATGTTTGGAGACTCTGGGTGACATGGTTCAGAATCGATCGCAGTAGCGTAGGTGTATATACTTCAACCGTGAGATTAAAATTACTTTAAATCTTTCTACCAACTAATTCTTTCTTTCTGTACTATATCCTTATATACAATCTTTCTTTTACATATTACTACCATTGAATTGACTACTTCTATGAATTCAGTGTTCATCTTGTTGTGCTCATGAGGTATGGCAACTTAGACTGGTGCATATATGTGCCTGGTTCTATGTTGGAGCTAACTGACTGAGTGGGAAATGTTACAGAGACTTTCGGCTATTGTAGTTTCAGACTACCACATACTTGTATCTTGTGAAATTAATTTATCTTGTTGGTTGAAACATTTGACTTCCAACTACCTGGTCACAGTTTAAAACACTGGACAACTAGGTAGTGTCACTATCTCTAAAACAAAATGTTGCTCAAAGCTGAATACACGATTTTGCCCTCAAACGTCCTCATACGACCGAGAGTGGGGAGAGTCAGCTCTCCCTCTCGAAACGCTCTCACATGGCCACGCGTATAAAGCCTCTGCCAGGGAAGTCCTACTCACTGCCTTCTCGCACCACGGGTGTTGTTTACGAAATTGAGAGGACAAACAGCTAATGTTCGAAGCCTTAGCCGGGTAGGTGGATATGGAGGATCCACGTAAGGAAATAGGAATACCCTGATTCCAAACCAGTGGTGCACATGGGCTCCAGGATCTTGAGAGAACAAATGGTATATGAACCAATTACTGGTCACCGGCTACCATGGGACTCCATTTTCTGACGTTACTCCACTGTCTCATGGATTAGACCTTTAGTTTAAAGGCTCGGGATGTGACCCCCTAAGAAAATCACCCGCTTCGGTTTGGGCAACCGGGCAGTATCACAGCCCGCACACAAATCGAATGGTTTATGCGGCTCATATCTTTTTGGTGCCTCCTTGTACCAATGTTTAAATAAATAAACTTGGTAAATAAAATACATTAATGAATCTGCCAAGTTTTTATACCACAGTAAATGTCACACTTGAAGCTTTAAGTTTATCGCATTTTCAGATTGATAATCCAAGGTTTATCTTTGCAGTCCGCTACTGCTTTACTCGATTGATAGTCATTAAGCTATTGAGTGTATATTTAAATAATCGAGTCTGTCTTCAGCTAATAAGAATAGACCATATTACCATTATTGTAATCATGAAGTATTTATTATCTTATGATTTTAGGTTATGTCATCATTGTCTGATTACTTGTCTATCAGATGTGTCGCTTGTTGTGGTGGGCGAAACAATACTATGCAAATGGCTCGCGAACTTGATAAGGGAGTGCATGTTGTCGTTGGTACTCCAGGTCGAGTATTGGGTAAATTACTTGGTTTAGTGTTCTTGAAATTTACTTATATCATAACTGAATTACTACATCTAAAATTTCCCTTAGGTTTGCTTATATAACAAGACAAGTAGGGTGTTTCAAATAACAAATATCCATTTTCAGATAGTATAGTATGTATGTTCATTGTTTTCATGTGAAAAGCTTGGATCAGTCACTACGTAAATAATCAATCAACCACACAAAGCAGAATTAATTCAATTAGTAGGCAAACTGCAACCGTCTTATTTTCTTATTTAAAGTAACCCATTTATCAAGTACAAGTTACACTATGTTTGGTCGAATGGAGCTACTCGTCTATTCAAACTCGAAGTAAGAGGAATCGCTGGATTCGAAACTACTACATACTGATTGCAAGCTAAGCGCCCAGTGACTTTTCCACTTGTAGAGTATTTTGTATGCATATATATTCAGAGTATTATCAAGTAAATAAAACAACATAGAATCTTACTAAGATGTAATTATTGATGCTACAGTAGAAGTTTGATTGTTCCTGCAATCATGAAAGTTACTACTTTTCTGTAAGACATGTTAAATTGTTTATAAAAGTGGATGTTTAGTAAGTAAGCTAATTATTTTCATAGCTGTTAAACTTCTCACAGTAATATATCCCCATTTTAATATTCTTTCATAAGATTCGTCATCATCTGGTAACGCTCATTACCCAATTCCATTAATTTTTTGCTTCTTAGAGCTTATTCGACAAGGTAACATACGTTTAAATAAATTACGTTCTTTGGTTTTGGATGAAGCTGATGAAATGTTAAATAGAGGATTACACGATCAGTTAGAGGAGATATATCGCCGCCTCCCATCTCATACGAATCCGAATAATAAAAAGTCTCTAAATTGTCAAATTGTTATCATCTCAGCTACAATGCTTAAAGAACATTTAGAATTGTTTCAAAATTTCACATCTAATCCTGTTTGTGTTCTTGTACCGAGGTAAATTGTAATTATTATTATTATTTGAGTTGTGATACTCCTGTATAATAATTTCTTATTTTGGTTCCTCAAAACGTCAATAAAGCAATCTTCTTCCTACTTTTTGGACGTTTACTACCTTTGAAATAAATACAAATTGTTCTGGCTTTCATCTTTTCTTTTACATCAATTATATGTTTAATTTTATTTATTCATCTATAGTTCATATTTTTACAAAGTTCACTAACTATATAGGCATTTAATTTTTAATATTTATTAGAATTGTTGATTCAACATGAGATTAAAAAGAAAATGAGTTCTGTAGAATAGTATAAAAGTGAACATATCCAAAACAGTAGTGATTAATTGCATATAATTCTCTTTTTCACTTTTTATTTTTAAAAAACGTAACTTTCCTGTGATATACTTCTATGATAAAACAAAACTATAGTCTTCTAAGTAGCAATAAGCGTAAATGAAAATAGAATAAATTTAGTTGCATAACATAGTATAGGTTGTGATGCAGTTGCCGTTAAGTTCCAGTTTATGCATGAGACCCAGTAATGCTTCTTGGTTTTTCAGACTAAATTAGGTGTAAAAGGCTTTTAAATTCGAAATTAACAGTTAAATAATGTTGCGACATTAATAGTCGAAGTAAATATAGATATTTTCACAGTTGAATTCAGTCATTCTAAGCTAAACCACCATTTAAAACTTGGAAACACTGAACGCTGTTTCGTCCCATTGTGAGACTCCCCAGTAGTGCATATCTACGATCCTGCACGCGGGACTCGAACCCAGGACCTTTTAATGTCTAACTTCGATCAATCCATGATCTTGCGATATCAACGAATTATATGACTTAATAGTAATATCATTAAAAGTTATACTACTTGGTTGATCCAATTAATTAGTGAGGGTTCATATTATTTCACTCACTTATTTATGATATAACTGTGATAATAGCAATAACTGTTAGTTACAGTTTGATACCAGTATAACATAGCTCTTTTGCAATCTGGACTACTCTAAAAGGTAAATCTTGTAAGAAATACTTATTCTGTAAAAGTCAACGAGGATTAATTCATGTTAAAGTTGATTTCGTTGTACACAGATTCAAGTTGCTGACTGTTAAATTGTCGCACAAATTTAATACAATTAAATATTATGCTGAACAAAAGTCAAAGGAATAGTAATCCCTCTTAAAGCAGTACATAATCTTACATTTGATTTCTTCCAAAATATTATATTTCAGGATTTCACACCCCAGGCCGCATAATTTGGTAAATTTTCACTATACTAACTGACCTTTTCAATACCTGTTGATTTCACTAATTTGTCTTAAATTTCATCTATAGAGACGAACTTAGTCTTTCTGATCTTCAACAATTCTACATTGATGTTGGCTCAGAGGAATGGAAATTCGAAGCGTTAAATGATTTATTCTCCAGTGTTTGTGTTTCACAAACTGTTGTCTTTGTTAATACTCGACGAAAAGTTGAGTGGCTTGCAAGTCAGTTGAAACGAGAAGGTTTTACAGTGGCTGCTGCTCACGGTGATCTTGATCAAAGCCAACGAGAGTCAGTTATGAAACAATTTCGTTCTGGCGAATGGTACTTTTCTTGTTTTTCTTTGTAAATACTGTCATAATAGAAGATTTATGTAAAGAGAAGAAAGCCCTCTAACTTGTTAGCTTAGATTCTCAAATTCCAAATCCAATGAATTTATCAGGTGTTTGGTGTCTTCATACAGTGGTTAAAGCCCATAAACCTATGTGCATTATTGTCAATACCAGCATTCTATTGATATCGTTAATAATTCTAGATTAACTTTGTCTACTCTTTCTTTAAAATGTTTGCCTTTTTACAAAATGCATAAATGTGTTTCACTTTTTTTATTTCCCAGTAGAAGTAGACTATAATGTTTTAACTAAAATCATAAATCAACTTTCCCGTCCATTGTTTTCACTATTCATGATAGTTTTATTTATTTATTTTAACACATAGATATTGGTACAAGGAGGTACCAAATACATATGCGCCACACAAATCTCAATTGATTTGTGTGAGGGCTGGGATACTACCCGGGTGCTCAAACCGAAGCAGGTGATTTTCTTAGGGAGCCACACCCCGAGCCTTCGACCTGAACGTCTGACCCACAAGGCAGTAGAGCATCGTAAGGAAATGCAGTCCAATGGTAGCCGGTGACCAACGATTGGTTCATACGCCATTTGTTCCTTCAGGATACTGGAGCCCATGTGCACCATTGGTTTGGGATCCGGTCAAAGCGCCGGACATCCCCTATTAAAGGACTCTCCAAAATTTCCTTAAAAGTTAATCTGTTGTCACTATTTCAACAAGCTGCTCATTCATATTAACGAAGTATATATTATCCGCCATACTATTATTCAAATGTTAGTTTAAACTGAAAGTTGTTATTTTATAGTCTACATCACAACCTAATCTTAGTCAAACAACTATTGGAGACCAGAAGACATTGAACAGCTGTTTCGTCATAGTATGGAACTCCTCAATCGTCTGCACCTAAGTCCCTACTGAGGATAGAACCCACGGTTTTCAGGTATCCAGGCGAGTACATATCTTGAAACTACTGAGTCGCTCGCTTCGAGACTTAAAACCCTTGTGTTCAATCTTCATCAGAGTTGTCGGGGCACATTTCTGAAGAGTCCTATGGTAAGGCAAAATAGTTGTCCAATGTTTCCCGGTTTCTTGTGGCGATTAAAGTCAGTTCATGATGTAGATTATGAGATTTAACGATCTCCACCAACCCCCTATCCTGATGACAGTTATCATCAAATAGCTTTAGTAAAAAAGTAACTGGGTTATTTTTGTCGGACGTTCGACGGAATTAAGTTCAAGCTCCACTTTGGCCTAAATGGTTAATTTATCCCACTAACTTCTGCGTAAAGGAATTGTGGCACAAAGCTGATTATATGATTCTGTACTTCAGAAATGAGGTACATTAATTGATTTGTCAAGTCTATACCAAAGTAAATACTATTTATGATGTTAAAAGTTTATCAGATTTTCTAAGTTAATGGTCCAAGAGGTATCCTTTCAGTCAGCTGTTCTTTTGTCCAGTTGATAGTCCGCAAACTGTCGCTCTAGTTTCCTTTTAATTGTTATTGACATTACTTGTAAATAATTTCCTATTTCTGTACATTACATAATGTCATTTTCTTTTCATATTTCAGTCGTATTTTAATCAGTAGTGATATGTGGGCTAGAGGTATTGATGTTCAGACAGTGGGACTAGTTGTGAATTTTGATTTGCCAATGAATACCAGTGAATACTTACATCGTATAGGCCGTTCTGGGCGTTTTGGACGTACTGGTTTGGCTGTTAGTTTTATTGCCAGTGCTGAGGAACGTAAACAGCTTTTAGAAATTTGCAATTATTATCAAATTGCTATTCCACCAGCACCAGCTCGTTTGGATAAAATGTTAGTCATTAATAATTCTGCACAAAATTCACCCAAAGTAGCAAATTCACCGTGTAAATCTGATACAAGCAACGGCCAACCTGTAAAACACCAGCTTGCTAAACATTTAAAGCGTAAGAAAAAACAACACAAGAGAAAAAGAAACTTGAAAGTTGTAAAATAAAATAAACTTTGTACATCTATTTCTCTAAATTAATGAATATGCCTTTTTGTGTTTTGAAGATCGAAGAAGTTCTGTCTAATCTGTAATTGCTTTCATAAAGGTTGTCAATAACAGTTCAAGTTCAGTCTTTCCTAGTAAAAACGACAGTAAACGGTATCTGTATATTTCAAACCACCAACCATTTTGACCAAATGGATATACTGTCACCTTATATGCAGGTGGTAATTTTAATATTATCAACACCACTTCGTCATAACTAAAACATCGAGTCTGATCATTATGCCATATTCCTAAATATTTTATTCGTATGTTTTAACCCTGTACAAAAACTCAAAAAAATCTACCTATCGATCATAAACTTTGTCGTGTTTAATTTACTCTAAATCATCCTTTTCCACTACTATTTTATCATTGCCTTTGCTAATGTACTCGAGGTCAATCAATCCTGTAGCTATCATTTCCTAAGGTTTACGGTTTTATAATATTGTTCAGTGTCATGCTTAAGATTGGTGGGCACCCAGTGATCGGTCAACATCAGTATTTCAGTCCTACAAGAGGTTATTCTCTGCTGGTACTTGTGAATGGTGGCATCGCAGACTAAAGCTTGGTGACGTGAACTCAAATCACATGATAAGTATCAGTTTCATTATGAGTTCCTACTAAAACCTAATCTAGGTCCAGGGTTTCCTACTGACTTCGAACGAATATGTCACATCACATACCCTAGTTACAGTATTTCAGTAATACTGTCAAATACTTCCTGTAAAATTTTCATGACTCCATTTCGTTGCGCCTTAGTATGTATCTCCTCGGCGGTGCTCATCTACGACTGTTACTGGGGCTCGAACCCGAAACCTTCGGTCTCTTATATGGACGTTCAACCTCTAAACCACCAAACTAGGATCCAGTGGTGTATAAGTCTAACCTCAGTCAGTCCGCGATATTGCACGACCGCCTTCCATTGTCTTCGGTGAGTAGCTCACTTCTGACACAGTTGGACTCCATTAGTTACGGCTTCTCACCAGAACTTTGGGAAGTCCCTTTCGAAGCTAGTCACCAGTGATCGTACGGAGGGGGAGTTGTGCAGTTTGTTGACTATTATTGAAATAATGAACTGTTCTAAGTTAGATAACTATTGAGAACCTCTCAATTATATCATATAACAATTAAAGAATATCGAATTAGGTTAGCATTTCTTGTCACAACACTAAAACTGAACACCACAGTCCAATACAGACGTGATATGAACTGCTAATAACTTACATTATTTACCTTCATTTAACTCCTTACGAGTTTCAGTTACAAATTTAGTAGGCCTAATTGTTTTAGTAATCTCAGATTGTGTGTCGAGTTCCTTTTCAAGAGTCCCCTTACCTTAAATTCGATAACTGATATTATAGAGAAGGTTGTGAGGAAATTGTTTAATTCATAGTTTTCGTATCACTGGTTGATCTTAATGTCACATCTAGCTATTTTATTGCTTGTTTTAATCAATAATTCGAATAAATTCAGTAACAGTTGTTAAAAACGTGATCAACTGAATTGTTTATCTCTAAAACATTCACTTCTATCCTAATAAAAGGCGCTACATTGTAATCAACATGAAATAAATTAACTGTACAATTCCATGGTGATTCGTACACATTCTCATTATACATTGAAAGTATTAAAAGCAGTCATGATAACAAGATTAAAAGAATGTTAAATCCACATGCATTACTTTTACTAACAAAATACTTAGAAATACTGTTACTGTTACCAATGCGATGTGTGCTATTTATGTGAACAGATATACGTAGTATGTAGCAAGGATCAGAAGTGAAATGCTAATCAGTAGAAGATTGAAATAAAGAGAAGTGAAAACAACGGTTAGAAGAAGGGGTATGTAAATGACAACTCAAGGAAAATGTGTGGATGATATTTTTAAGGTATGACTTTCATATTTTACAAAGGTAGTGATTTTTGCATAGAAAATGAGTCTGTCTACCTTACCTGAGATTTCATTCACTACACTACTGGACACAAAATACATTCACCTTAAATGAAGTGAAGATGATTATTTTAAAATAAAAGTGGCGTTGGGGGTGTCAAATATGATGTGAAAGCTAGAGCTAGAAATGGTGTATTTAGTGAGAATCATACTCTTATATGCAGCAGTTGCTCACTAAGTAAACAGAAAAATGCTTGGTATCGCACACATATTGAGAAGCAGACGAGCTACAAATTCACAGACACATATGCTTTACTAACATCATGGTAACTGCAGACTTCTGAAATGTTGGGAGCAGATTCTATTAATTAATTAGGTTGAAAAACCTAATCTAATTGTAAAAAAATATAGAATTTCCGGTGATTTGGAATTCACTGACTGAAGACAGTATGAACACATCATGAAACTAAGTTCGCTTTACAAAGAGTTAGTTGTCTACATTCATTCTCCAAGACTGACTAGTCGTTGAAACTGATTCATTCAGATTCGTTAATCTCAACAGGTTTAAAACTTTGTATAAGGTCGCTTTTTTTGTTGAAAAGAATAAGATACTTTTTGAGTATTGTTACGTGACGTATTCATCTGGTACATGAGTTGCGTGGTTTTTTAATGGCTAGCAATACTATAAGACGTTTCAAATTGAATTGGGTACAATGAGATAGCAAACTGTAATCTGCTGTTGATTTAACTACTAATCCTTTGTTACTCTTATTAACATCAAACTGCTCTCTTTCGGACTGGTGCTTCAAACCAGCACTTTAGACCGCTTCGCCACTCCACCCTACGCGTTTCACATCTGTGTAACATAAGTAAACAATGTCCACCGAGATATAGGAGAGATCTAAAACGCAACGACACAGACAATTGTCAGTGAGTACCAAATAAGAGAGAATATGGTGTACAAGCACAGATGAAATTACGCAGTTACCGTGCAAAAGGAAGGTTATGTACAAAGTAGTCCCGTACATCATTCCAAAAGCTCAATGTACGCTAGGTTTGCCTATTTTCTAACAAACCGTTTACCCCTTTTCGACTAGGAATAAGAAAGAGTAGGCCCTCATCGTTATCATGCATAATAATTTTAACACTGTTTTATCTGAATAATCGTTTAGGGCCGTTTTTGGTCCCAAAGTAGCTCGATGACCTCCGAACGACAGTAATGTAACTTTCTAAAACTTGTTAGGATGAAGAGTGTTATAAACCAGTGAAAATTAGGTCTATGTTTTAGAAGTTGGGTTGTTTTATCACGAAATTATGCAAATATTTCAAGTGTTAACACCTGAAGTCTATACCTTGCATTCATACCCCATAATATTACAAATATCTTATTAGCCCCTTATTGAGAGACTAGGTATTTCCATGCATATATATGCTCATTTACGAAAACAAATCGTATATTACGCTATGAAGTTCTAAGAAAAATCCAACTAACTATATGGCTTCAAAGCATTCTTACATTATAGTTAATGTCAGTTCATAATGTAAGCCCTAACTCGGAATTCCGATCCTTAATTATAGTTCTAGAACGATGGTTGATACATATTTTGTGTTTGTTTTGATCATCTGAATGGTCAAAATTTTTGATTGTTTATGACGATTTACTTGCTTTACGTTTGCCTGAAGTTCAGCATGTCGTTCAAGATTGCTTATAATTCAGCTCTGCCATCTACTGTAGATTCTTACTTTATTAGTATAAACTTAAGAATCTGGGTTCGCGTTATCCACATGTATTTCTTCGCTAACGTAATAGGTACTGTTTCACAGAACGTCTGGATCAGACGAAAATGTCATGTATCATGTGACCACTTAATGCAGTAGTCAAAATCTTTTGGCCTAACTGTATTGGCTCACACTCAGTTGACAGACTCATAGTGCATTTCCCTAGAAATCTCACGCGATTTTTCCCATTTAGACACTTAAATGAAGAACAACGATCAAGCAGAACACAAATGCCCTGGTACGGCCGAGAGGGGAGAGTCCGCTCTCCCTCTCGAAATACTCTCACATGACCATGCGTATATAGCCTCTGCCAGGGAAGTCCTACTCACTGCCTTCTCGTGGCATTACTGTTGTTTACCAAAATGAGAGGACGAAAACCGAATGTCTGGCGCTTTAACCGGACCCCAAACCAATGGTGCACATGGGCTCCAGTATCCTGCGGGGACAAATGGCGTATGAACCAATCGTTGGTCACCGGCTACCATCGGACTGCATCTCCTCATGATGCTCCACTGCCTTGTGGGTCAGACGTTCAGGTCAAAGGCTCGGGGTGTGGCCCCCTAAGACAACCACCTGTTTCGGTTTGGGCACCCGGGCAGTATCACAGCCCTCACACAAATCAATTGAGATTTGTGTGGCGCATATGTATTTGGTGCCTCCCTGTACCTATACTTATGTGTTAAAATAATAATAATAATACTCTTCTTCAGCTCCCCTTTTGTGTCTGTTGGTTGCGTAATATTTAAGCATAGGCATAAACTTGTGACATTGGATCATAATATTTACGGTAGTTACCTTCAATTCTTTTGCTACGTCGAATGTATGTTTATTGTTTCTATATTTGGTGTTCTTCGTTCTCATTCTTAGATTCTCTGCCATTGTAATTTCGACACAGCTATTGGCTGTTATACATATTACTGTGTGTTGTTATAGATAACTCTACATATTGATTTCAGGGAGTAATCTTCTCTGATCATGCACAAATCTTGTAGACACTTTATCAGTTAAGTTCTATAATTCACTACATACATTTTCGTAATAACAGTACCATTTCTGTACATAATCTAGTGTTGTTTTGTTCGTCGGATTTTTACTAGTCACTCAATCGAAAACAAGTACCTCACGACATGATTATCGATAGTCACCATTTACATAAAGCAGTATTTATTTTAGCTCATAAATCTTGTTGAATATTTAAAAAATTGCAGTAAACCAGTAAAAGGATTGTGTTATTTTAAACAAAGACACATACACATTTGTGTATATGTTATATTCTTTATCTTTATAATCGATCGCCGAGGACAAACGAATTAGTTAAAGAATAGGACACAAATGTTCTTGAATATATATTTCAGTAAATAAACTCACTACAATATACATTAGTAAAAAAACAATAATTAGTAGTAGTAGTTTCCGTTGGTCGTATTTTCGGCTTGGTTATATCCCTTCCCTGAAGCTAACTCGTGCTATGTTTGTCTAATTTGTGGTTTACTGAAAATATTCGCCACAGTTGTTTGGGGGTAAGTTTTGTGTTTTTCGGGCTGTTTTAAATGTTTTCAAGATATATATTTTTAATTTAATGGTATGATCCATGAATATTTAACCAAATCATCTAATAATGTAGGGAATCTTTAACCAAATATAATTGGTTTAGGAATAGCTTAGATTGATGTATATATGATTAGACTAGACACACACAGCATGAAGGATATAAGATGCCAAGTTGTTAGATGTGTTATCGTTCTTCTATGGTCCCTATGACGACGCATTCTAATTCGTTTTTACGTTTTTTATGAAAAGCTTATACTGATATTCAGTCTAAATTTTAGAAGCTCTTTCAGCTATCCAACCATGTAATTGTGTGTGATTATTAACAGGCAATTAATACAAAAAGATTGGATGAAGTAACAAAATTATTTGTATTAGGTTGTAGGCTTCTGATCTTGCAGTCCTTTACACGTTTTTATCTCCTTTCACGTTTGTCCACACGTCATACATGGAAACATTGTTGCAATGCATAGGAATATAAGCACATAAATTGAAAAGTATTTAAAGCAAGTGTGACTAATAACTCTATATCTCATTACTCCTGTGATCAAATTAATTTGACAACGAATATTGTCTTCAGTTTAGTCGTCTTGGTTTATAATATGGTGTATGGACCTATCACGAAAGACACGATAAGATTTCACTACTTGGGTTTGTATGTGTGTATTTATAAACCAAGTGGCTGTTTATAGGATGAAACGCGTGTTTTTCATTCCACTTCTAGCCACATTCCATGTATTCTATATCAGATGCAGACCAAGTTACTTCCCGTTAATATTACAGATAACCATAACAATAGACGTCCAGTAATGTTTCCTCGGTCAAAATATGTATCAGATTACTTAGTTTACATATTACTTACATTCATAAGTACCACACCAGCCCAACAAACTGCGACATCTCACCCTTAACTGTAATTACGCATATTAAATACAACAAATACTTAAGTAAACCCTTGGTAAATCTTGCTAATTGAACGTTTGATCCAATTTCCTAGCCACTTTTAATAACCCCAAGCTAAATCTACACGACAATTTGGACAAGAGGAAGGGCGCGAGGTGTGAAAAGTACGTTTTATTCTAAGGTTATTTTATACACAAAGACGAGAATGTTTGTAAAAGTACAGACAATCCAATCAAAAACATGGCACATTACTCTTCACTTCCTGTATGTTTCTAATAAGCTTCTATTCAACGCTGATTGAGTAAAATATTTCCCGGTGTTTTCTAGTATCCTATGGACTTCTCCAAGTAATACTTTTGAACGCCTTAACAACTCAACTATCCGGGTATGCATATACATCTGTCCAAGATACCTGCAAGTAGCACTAGGTATAACAACTTCTGGCCACTAACTCCTATCAGTAGAAAATACCCATTTCAAACTCCTATTGTTTACTTAATAGGCTGCATTGTGCAACAATAATCCACTCTACTAACCGCTGACATAGCGGTATGTCAAACGACTCTCGTTTACGGTGCCAGAATTAAACCCTTGTAAATAACAAAAGCAATGTTTTGTGATATATGTTGTAATGTGTTTTTAAATATGTATCTAAAATAAATAAACGTTTCAGTAATTCCGATTATAATAAAACACAATTATGTAAACGAATAATATTCTTTTCAATAATTTCTCATCAGGTTCTACAATTATAAATCCAAATTAATAATCCAGAGGGAGCTCTTTAAAAATTGTGTCTGAGAAAGCTAACTACTACTTATTGGTCAGTAGCACGAATCTAACGGATATTTTTACTCGACGGAATAACGTGTAAGTAGTCATGAAACATAAAAATAGTGGTGTCGCGTTCTGTAAAAACGCTGGCGCTCATAACAACTGAAAAGTAGGTTAAAGAAAATCGATTAAGACGCCGCCTTTCGCAAACTTTTGCTTCTTTGAGTAAAGGTTTCAAAATTCTTCCACAATTTAAAACGACTTACTTATGTTCTTAAGATGCGTTACTTTAAACTAAACAGTAAATCTGTTTAATCCTCATTTAGTTGAACTTAATAGGTGGTTTACGAGCAAAATATCACATTCATTTCTTATGGTTTTTGTCCAAAGAACTCTTCTTTCTTTCATTCCGTTTTCATTGTAAATTATTTCCGTGAAGTAACTGGACTACCGGTCCTTACATGCCGTGTCAATTTGCCATCGAGCATTCCAAAGTCATTAATATTTTCGGAGATGATGAGATGCCTTTTTTGGACCACGGAAACATTATTGATGTTAAGTATTTCTTTATTTATTATTTAATTTAACACATAGGTATCGGTACAAGGAGGCACCAAATACACACGCCACACACGAGTCTCAATTGATTTGTGTGAAGGCTGTGATACTGCCCGGGTGCTCAAACCGAAGCAGGTGATTTTCTTAGGGGGCCACACCCCGAGCCTTCGACCTGAACGTCTGACCCACAAGGCAGTGGTGCATCGTAAGGAGATGCATTCCGATGGTAGCCGGTGACCAATGATTGGTTCATACGCCATTTGTTCCCGTAGGATACTGGAGCCCATGTGCACCATTGGTTTGGGATCCAGTTAAAGCGCCGGAAATTCGCTTTTCGTCCTCTCATTTTCGCAAACAACACCCGTGGTGCGAGAAGGCAGTGAGTGGGACTTCCCTGACAGAGGCTATATACGCGTGGCCATGTGAGAGCATTTCGAGAGAGAGAGCTGACTCTCCCCACTCTCGGCCATACCAGGGCATTTGGGGGCATTAATGTTAAGTGATTAAAGCCGGTTAAGTTTTAAAAACCAAACTAATTTTTACTTTTCTCAACAAATTACATGACCAAATAGAAACAACAGCCCCTACTTAAAGGTGTATAACAATTATTTATAGAATCAGCTATCACCATTCCTAATATTGTTAAGCTGCATATGTAGCTTGATACAATTTGTTTGAATTGATGAATTAAAAGACTAAATAGTTACATTTGAAGCTCAATACGATTTAATGTTTATACAGTTTTGTCTCGATTCAATCATCACTGAAAATCGGAAATATTGAACAACTATCTGGTTTTATTCTTGGATTTATTAACTTCAATCACTCATGACGCTACCTCCAAAACAAACTCCTACAACCGATAGTCCCGCTACTTACAACCCCAAACCCATATAGAAAACAAAATCTTCAAAGGCATTTCCATCTGAAAAATAATTAATTATTGATACACGTTTGATAATTTGATTTCAATTTTTCATATCCTAAAAAATAAACAAAGTTCATTACAGTTGTAACCGGAGATCATTTGTAAATGAGATCGAGTATAAGTGGTCTCTAGTGAAGGAGGTTGAGAATATGTGGATATTTTGATTGTATAATAAATCTCATTGTTTTTTCTTTTTTTTAAAAATACAAAGACCAAAATTGGGTAAATGAGTAAAACAATAATTTTCATTCAAAAAAACAAAACAAAATACCTAAAGCATTGAGACCGGGATTGAAAAACAATATTTCTAATGTTTTTGCATAGAATTGCTAAATGATTTTACCAAAAGAGCAATATCAAAATAAGTACAAAGGTAAGGAATACATAAATAAGAGGTTGGACAAGAAGTAACACTGTTACTTAATGTAATTAATTAGTCGCTGAATTTTGTAAAGCTTTTATTCACTTTTTCATTTGACATAACTACCGTCCGAACTCTGCTTTTTGGAATTTTAAATGTTTATTAATCTCTCATGTTCTATTCTATAATTTCTCTGTACGCATTACCTCATGTTTGACATTTGTAGAAAAGAAAACTAGACTGTTTTAAAATAAAGAATGAAAAATGCATCATCGTCATTATGTTCTTAATGGAGGTTGATCGTGAGAAACGAAATTTACTGTTCTTACATCACCGGTTAAATCTAGCGCTGATGGAGAAGGTGAATCATTCGATGAATCGTATCCACTCGGGGAATTATCGGTTGTAATTGGAGAAGATACACCGAAATAGCGGAATGTATTATGATTATTAACGGAATTATGATTACACTGTTCAGTCAGTGCGTTTGTAAGTGGAGGGAGAACTGGATGTGTCATTGATTCTGATAATGATGAGGTGCTATTCCACGAATATTTAGTTGGTGTCGGATAATTATCAGACGATAAGGGTCGATTTAGAAAATGAGTACTCCTCATATTGGTACTGAAATTTAGTATTGATGTCGTTGTTACTTCTTTTGACTCATTATGACAGTTACATGAACACATTTGTCCACTTAGCATTATATGGTTGTAACGACAGTCAATACAGAAATTTTGTCCATTCATATTGTTTTGGAATGATACAATTGAACAGTATGGAGATACTCCAGAATCATTACTAGTAGAATCACTAGTATTTTGTATAAAATTAGGACTATACGTTTGTCTGTAATGTTCAGAATTTGCAACTGGTGGTAAATTCTCGCCGGCATCGTAAACATTTAATGGATTATACATAAATCTTGAAGAACTATGAGAACTGTTAGTCCGGACCACATTTAAATGCTGTCTATCATTATCAGTATGTTCATGATTCATTAATCCGTCAGGAAATCCAAAACGATTAGTTGTACTACTACTACTACTGCCAGTAGCCGCTGTCTGTTCTAAATTAATAAAATTTGTATCTGATAATCCTGAGGCTAAAGATGAATTTGATGAAGTGGTTGAGAAAAATGTCATTCTATTTAATCGATTATGATTGTATAATCCTCCACCTAACGGTGGATATACATTTTCTTCATCCATCTCATTGACACCGGGTGAGTAAAATCGATGTGATCGACCTGAATTAATGAGAAAAGCAAATTCGAAATTATGATAATGTTGACAAATATACGCGCTTCTAAATGTTTACCCTTCTTTATTGTAAAAGAGTTCACTTATATGCCTGTAATACTATAATAAATTTCCTGATTTCACCAGTCATTTCAAAGTACAGATCACTGTTATTGAAAAGGTTTATGTCGGTAGTAATTTCCTAGTTATCTTTAAAAAATCAATAATATTTCACAGTATTGAATTACAATTTTCACGATATCACTTAGCTACAACTGAAACCTCAATTAAAACTTTCCAATGACAATTCATTGAAACATTCAATTCAGTCTTTTGCGCGTAAACGATATCCATTCCGAAATAGTCTAACTAGTTTGACATCTGCCCACCATTGTAGCTGGATTAAACATTTGACTAGATAGTTGTGTTGGAATATTTCTTCGCCGTCAGTCTATATGGTTACGTGAAAAAAAGCTTTAAGAATCATAAACTAATATTGGTGAATAGTGAATGTTAAATTGACCATTTGTTCGTTTTTAATTTATTTTTTATTTATTTATTTTAACACATAGGTATCGGTACACGGAGGCACCAGATACATATGTTCCACACAAATCTCATTTGATTTGTGTGAGGGCTGTGATACTGCCCGGGTGCCCAAACCGAAGCAGGTGGTTGTCTTAGGGGGCTACACCCTGAGCCTTTGACCTAAAGGTCTGATCCACAAGGCAGTAAAGCATCGTGAGGAGATGCAGTCCGATGGTAGCCAATGACCAACAATTGGTTCATACGCCATTTGTTCCCTCAGGATACTGTAGCCTATGTGCACCATTAGTTTGGAATCAGGGTTTTCCAACTCCCCTAGGTGGACTCTCCATGTTCACCAACCCGGTTAAAGCGCTGGACATTCGCTCTTCGTCCTCTCAATTTCGTAAACAACACCCGTGGTGCGAGAAGACAGTGAATAGGACTTCCTTGACAGAGGTTATATACGCGTGGCAATGTGAGAGCATTTCGAGGGGGAGAGCGGACTCTCCCCACTCTCGGCCGTACCAGGGCATTTGGAGGCCCTGATTTTTCAAATTACATCATTGCGTATCCAAATAAATCCCAATTTAAATATTCGTTGATTTGCGCACTAACACTAGTTTGGTATTGTAGCATTCATTCAGCTCGCAAACATGATGAAGATCTAATTCTGTAGTAATGTATTAACGTCACGAATAACAACATTAATCGGAGAATATTACTACTATTCAAACCGGGTCGATCAAATCTTAATGTAATGATCAAAAATTAGGGGAATCAGATTTACATCAATGAGTGATTTATGAAGTTTAGGTTAACCAAATACATCAATTGGTGGGAAAATTTGACACTACATTTCCTTGAGGTTAACATAGTCATAGTATTCCAGGAGATTTCGAAAGTTGTCTTTAAAAAACGAGTTCGAATATCGGTTTCAATTATCTTTTAATAAGCTAATCGAACGTGTCATTCTTTTGAAATTCTATTTCATTTAGACCCGAAAGGTAGTCACTTAGATTAACACTTGATGATACTCATAAATAACGTGCGTGTGTTGAACAACGTTACTCCTCAAACTTTTCGGACTGCAACTAACTCGTACAAGGAGTTGATATAAAGATGGTGAGATTGTTGGGTAATAAACAAAAGCAGCACATCACGTGAATTATGTTAGATTACTAATGATTTATACGATATTCGTTCAAGCAAATAAATAGTTTACTAGGTTTAAAATGGCTGAGTTCAATAATTTGATTTGTGCTCTGTACGGTGATTTAAAGCTCTTGATACTCTTATGACACTGATACACAAACAAAACGCGTTTAATCGAAATTCATTTCGACAGAAAAATACAACAATCAACTTGATTTATCAAGGACAATCTGCATGAAACGATTGAGGAAAATCAGTACATTCTTAGATCACAAACACACATCAAATATTAACTGACAGCCCATATAAATCAATCAGCCCATCTTGATTTCCACCAATTAAATTCAAATTGCGAACAGCAAGCTGTGATCTATTTATGACTCAGATTGGTCTGGAAAATAGAAGCGTATCAGCATTAAAATCATTAGACACAGTGGGATATTATGCCTTTTAACATTCAGTAAATCAACTTAGATTCATATCACTTGCAATTAAACTGGACTATTTGGACATAAAATCACATTTACAGGTCAAAATTAACTTTTGCAGACAGCCATCTTTGGTTTAGGGACAAACTGGGGTCAAATAAACTGAATATGATTTAGTCCTATCTTTCATAGAACATGTGACAATTCACATGAATAAAATACGGAATCGATGCTTCATTAGTTCTTGATCAATAATGGATTCATGAAAATAAGCAAATTACGATTATTTATATATTTAGTATCTTCATTTGTATTGAAAGATTGCTATTTCATCCTACTTCGGAGTAGCGAAATAAAATGTTAAATAGAAATGCGCTGAACGCATAAGATTCCACATTTGGAACTAATCGTTTTCAAAGACCTACAAGAACTGTTCCTTAACTTTCATTGGAAATTTTTAGTTTAGGAAACCTTATTCAACTCGTAAGAATGTCATAATCTGGTTGAAAAACATTCTTATGACTGGTATCTAAGACAAACAATTGACGGCAGAATATTTGTATGAAGTTATCAGTACCTTTTTGTAAAATTAACATGTTGAAATACCTTGTGCTAAGAATCCTATATAGTACCAAAAATATATTGAGCCATTAATAATAATAATTTAGTTGAGTTAGGCATTTCATCAAGGATGTCAGATTAAATAAAGACTGACAGAATTTCAGACCTAAGCTACCTACAACCTCCCCTCCGATGTACCAGCATGATTTCCACGGAATAATCGGTAGTCAAGGTGAACAGCAATTCAATTTACCTTTAATCATCTACGTTTAGCCATAATTCTATGATGATAAAATGTTTGTTTAACTTATGTAATATCTTATTAAAACACACATTTAATTGTTTAAATGATTTGGATAAATACAAAGTCGAAAACATGAACACAATCAATAAATAAATGCTGAAGACGTGGTGCTTGTCTAAATACGTTTCACTAGGTGAAAATTATTTGGAAATACAACTTAAATTCGATATAAGCAATATCCAATAATTAGTAGTCCAAGGTCATTCAGAGGCATGAATTAAGTTGGTTGCCATGATCTCCCATAACCTTTGCTCCTTATGGCTCTAATAACCAGTAAATATGATAAAAGAGATTTCACATCGAAAACACTGCTATCTAAATGTGAATAAGTCGAACCTACATTATGATTAGTAATTAATCAACGAAGCAACTTTTATCAAATATCTGTATAATGTCTTGATAATTACTGGTGTAATTTTTTCATTAAAGTATACTATACTGAAAGTCTTGAGTGAACTAATTAGTAAAGAGCTTCCTAAACTTTTCGAACAAATTCAAATTGAAGTGAAGGAAAGCTTGTATCTTATGAATTAAATAAAGTTTTAATATTTGTTTCGTAAAATGTTTATAACTGATACAAATACCTAATTAACCAAGCAGTAATGGTGACGTGGTGTTTAAGATAAATTACGAAAAAAACCTATTCTTGAGGTAGATTGTATATCAGAGCACTTGATGTGATTCAGTGTATAGTCAATGATGTTTGCGTTGCTAAAAATTATTCTTCAACTGCTAAATCTCAACGCTAACTTCCACAATTTTGCAAACTGAGACATGGGAGGTATCATTGCACTATTGCTGATATCATTTAGTGATAAAAAACCGCAACACTGATTTTTAACCTTAACCTTCACTTATAACTCTAGCCCAACTCCGAATACCTAGACTTAGTGTTTCTTTGTTTACTATAATAAATAATGCAATATGTAATAATTTAGTAATCATATCAAAGCTATTTATCTAACATAATCTTACCGCCTTCTGTTGTTAATTCTTTTTGTCAAAAATGACCAGAGAATATGACATTACTTACTGTCACCTATTGACCGATAACTGTTATATATTTACCATGATAAATCAGTTGTCACAAAGCTGCATTATTAATTGAGTGTCTCCTAACAACTTCATTGGATGAAGCTTAATGCACTAGTTCACAAAAGGTAGTAATTGGGTTTATTATATGAACGTGAACAACGAGGAAACCAAGGTTCTAAGTTGCTCACCAACTGTCTTCAAACATTAAATATATACTAATGTTTAAAGTAATATCTATATCAAATTACCCGTTAAAATGATAGCAATAATAAACCATATAAGGTCACTCGAACCGGTGAATTTAGGAAAAATACTCTGCTATATATCAAAAAACCTTCATCATTTTGTTGATCTCATACAACAATTCAGTAATACAAACATTTGTTCAAGTGAATTCCAGATAAACGACATTTGATGATTGGTTTATCCTAATCACTCTCCCTATGAGGTCATGACCTAATCTTAACCCGTCCTGAACTTAGGTTTGTGTGGTAGGGACAGGAAAAATCGCTTACAATAATAATAATAAGTCATGATCACAAACGAAATTCACTACTCATCACATATAATTGATAAATATTTAGTCAGTTGAGAAAAATACTTCCTTTAAGTTGCTGTATGTATGACAATCTAATTTATAATAAATCAAATTGAAGGATGTAAAGCACCAACCAATAAAACTCTATTAAGATAATCATGTTATAGAATTCTATAATTAGTTAGAAAAGTAAGAGCATTATTTTAATTAATTAGATCATTGGCTTGAATTTCGTAATTCAATGGACTATCGCCTGCATAAAATACTTCTATGTATGCTTGAAGAATGTTTAATGAAAAAATATTCATTTAATTGGTTCATAATCCGGTGAGATAGAATCGACATACAGATAATCAGT